TCCCCCCGGAGTCTGCGCCGCCCGCCGCTGTCGAGGATCCGGGTGGGGGGCGGGTCTAGGAGCTGCGGGCCCGGGGCGCGGGGTCCCAGGAACCGACGCTAGGCTCCTCTGCGGAGAGCACAGGGGGTCCTCGCGGGCTGGCACCGAGAGCACAGCTGCCTGGGCTGGGGAGCGCTGGAGGCTCGGTGCCTGCCGTCTCCCGGCTCAGGAGTGTCCCTCCCACCGACGGCTCAGCTCGTGTTCCGGAGCTCGAGGCCAGGCAGCGGCGGCGCGGCTTTGGGACCGGGTCCAGGCTCCCGTCACCAGCGGGCGCTTGGAGATCCCCCGGGCTGGCCCCCTCTGCGCGGCCACGGGGAGACTGAGGCTCGGAGAGTCCAGGGACTGGCTCCGGACACCTCGGCGCCCGAACTCAGCGCTTCCGGACTTTTCCGGCCTCTGCCTAGGGCTGGGATTCGCAGGTGAAAGGAAGCGCTCGCTTCACTTTTCTGTCCCGAGAGGGTGAGAATTGGTCGAGGGGGCGCTTGGTTATTGTTGGGGGGAGGATGGGAAGGGAGAAGTTCCGGTGACGCGCTCCCAAGGCCTTTCAGGATGATTTCCAAACCCCAATCGGGGCTGCCCTGCCCACTGCCCACTCCCTACGACAGTCCGTCGTCTTTCAGACGAGGATTCCTAGGCCCAGAAGGGAAGGTGACTTGCCATGGCCTCACAGCGACTTTGCCACTTAGCGGAGCTCAAACCTGCGTCCCTTTAGGACTGCGCTTCCCAGCTGTGTTCCAGAGGTAGCCACTTTCCCATTTTGAGTTCCAGGTTCCTCAACTGTACCGAGCGTTTGGATCTCAAGAGTCCTTCCGTTGCGGATGTTTAGGGAGAGCTGCCCCCACCCCCATCATCTATCTTTGCGTGGCTCGGGGTCCCTCTCTGTATGGTGCAGAGTGGCGCACGGCTTAAAGACGATGCAGGCCAGGCTCCTGCCCTCGCTTGGTAACCTCCTCTTCCAATTCCCCTGGGCCAGGGAGGGCTCCAGGTAGCTCTCAATCCCACCCCCAACCCCCCACCCCCGAGGCAGCCGAGCGGCCCCTTCCCACAGCGGGGAGGGGGAAGCGGCTCAGGGTGGGCGCGTCTTCCGGGGGAGGGGAGGGCAAACCGAGACCGTTTGCTTTATGGGTGTCCGATTTCTGAGTTCCTTTCCTGCCGTCCCCTCGGGCAGGACTCCGTCCTAAGCCGGTACTCCCAGCGGCGCAGCCCCGCTGGCCTCAGTTCGCTCTGTGGCCATTCTTGGGGAGACCTGGGGCCCATCCTTTACCCCTCGCAGGGCCTCAGTTTTCTACTCTGTGAATTGGGGGCTGGAGGGCGTGTGCTGATCTCCGAGACTCCTTCTGCTCTTGGGATTCCGAGCCTTGGTGGCTGCTCCGGAGGCTCCAGTCCGGACACAGCTTTCCGGGGTGTGTGGGGACTGGGGGTGCTGCGGGTGCCGGGTGGAGCCGAGAGTGCTGCGGGAGCGCCAGAGATCCCAAGCGGAGGTTCTGGCCAGAAGCGGGTGGCACGGCTTCGGGGGATGTTAGCCGCGTTCTTCTCGAAAGCTCAGGGCAGGCTCAGCCTGGCCAAGCGTTGGGCAGCTGCCTTCGGAAGAACGAGGCAAAAGCCCAGATCTTCGCTCTGCCGACCCGGGTGTGTGGAAACAGTCGTACGTTTGCTTGACGACCTTCCCCAGCAGAAGAGTGCTCGAGCGAGTGCAGACGGGCTTTACACTCGCTAAGCAAAACTCCTAGCTTCCTTCTTCCAAAGTGAGGAAGTGAAATCCCGGTTGCGTCCTGTTGCTTTTTTCCACAGGATTTTTTTCAAAGTTAAAAAATTTAAAATTTTAACCGGATTATATCATAGGGACCCTTTAATACGAGATTTTGTGGTTCTCTGTATTTCCAAGATTCTGAGATTCGGATTTCCAGATTTTCAATTCTGGACCATTTTTCTAACACGATTCCATAAATCAAAGAATGTGATTCTGTAATTCTAAACCTCCATGACGAGGAATCTAAATTACTTGACTGTGATTATATTCTTGTAACTTTAAGCTTCTGGTCAAAGTCTAAAAGCCTATTCGTTATATTTTAAGATGCTGGGACTTTGTGTCTGACTTTATACATGAAAATATGATGCCACTACTGGGAGCTGCCGCTTCTTTAGTTTTAGATATTTTTTTTTTTCAGTTTTAAGGCATATATTATTTATTTTGAATTCCTGTCCAGGAATGCCTGGTTGGAAGATTTGAGTATTATAAATCCATAGCATTCTTCTTCCTTAATTCCAAAATGTTAGTACTGGACCCACTATTACGTAGCTTTCAGAATCTGATCTAATAATTCATTTAATATTTGTGACTCTATGCTTTAATGATCGGTCCTGTTACTATATGATTCTCTACTTACAAGCTTCACTGACTATGGTTAAAAGTCTTCACATCTCAGATTTTCTGATCCTTGGTGTCTGGTGTCTGTGGCTTCATTCTTCTGGATTCTGATCCCTTTTGTCCAACTTTGTTGCTACCAAGCTACACACCCATGCCCCACATCAAGACTTATCCGGAGATTAGAATTCCCAAGATCGTGATTCTAAAATCTTCATGAACAAAGGACCCCTAAAATTCTACTCCATAAGTGTTTTATTTAAATAATGCATTTCAAAATTCTGTACTTTGAAGATTCTATAAATCCACGATGTAAAATTCGAATTAAACGATTTGATGAGTACCAAAGGTTACAGTTTACCCGTTTGGATCAAACCATACATATAAATTCCCTCGTTGCCAGGGCATTTCCTTGCTTTCCCTTTGCTTCCCTCTTCCTTTCTTGCGTGGGGGCAGGGTGGTCATGATCAAATCCTCCTTCTCTGGCAGGGTGTTCCTTGAGTTTGTGGAGGCACACTGAGAATTATTTCAGAGCTAGGGAGGGTAGGTTCCAGCCCCTTAGAAATTATTCTTCCATTAAGCAGGAGTGGGTTGGTGTTGATGTGGATGGGGCTGGGTGACTTCCATGGGCTTGCTGGTCTTCAGCCCTTCGTGTATCTCCAGCACCGCTTGGAGAAACCTGCCCCAATTGCAGGCCTTTTTATGTGCATTTTGCAAGGAGGAGGAGAGTACTGGCCATCTTGCTTGTAGCTCTTCTGCAACAATACTTCCCTGTAATTTTGAAGGTTTTGAAGTGCCCTCAGAGAGTTTGTAAATGAAAATAAGGGGGATACAAGGACTCGTGGAAAATTCCTCCACATCCCTTGCCCCAGATGCCCCTTCATGCAGATGCAGAGGTAACCAACTCTACTACTTAAGGAAATTTTGGAAATCAGAGCTGGAAGTAGACTAGGCCCAGATTGTGTGAAGGACTTGCTTAAAGTCTTGCAGAGAGGAAGGCACTTGGCTGAGAGAGAAACTCAGGTCTTTGGGCTCTTACTTCTTGCCCCAGTGGCCTCTTCGTCTTTTCCTTTCCGGAGTTCTCAGATGCTCCCTTGTGCTTAATTCCCTGGCCTGGGCCATTCTCCTTACCTAGTAGTGAGGAAACTCCAGGTCTCCAGACTTGCAAATCTGATCCAATAATTTCCTTATCGCAGGAACACAGTGACCTCTGTTTGGGTTATTCAGGGACAATCTCTCTGGGTCAGGGGATTGTATGGCTTCAGAGAACATCAGAGCAAGATACTGCTACAAAGGAGGACTGCGTCACACTCAGCCCTGCCGATGACTACAGACGTCTGTCTGCAGCTGCACCAGTGTCATAAGAGCTCTGACCCCCAAGACCCCCAATCATTTATAACCGGCTCAGTGGCTTTCAGCCTTTGATGCTCTTCTTAGGCCTCAGTTTCCCCATTTGTGAAGCAGGAGATCCCCTATCTGTCTTCTCTTCCATGGAGTCGGATGGAATGGGGGTGGGTGCATTTCTAACCTGCAGTCGTTTTCTTCTTCTTTCACATTGTTTTCAGGGCGAAACTTGGACGTGAAGAAAAGACAAGCCGCTGGGGAAAATTCTAGCCTGTCCCATTCATGGATGGAGATGAGATGCCCCCTTGGAAGAAGTAGCGTTGATTAAAGTAAAACATTTCCCGAGGCCTAGCGGGGGATTTCGAGTCTTTGAGCGTGAACTCTTTCAGCTCCCAGCGCAGCGCCGGGACCCCAGAGGTCGGTGGAGAAGTAGCCCAGCTTCGTGCACTTTCTCGCCATTGGTTCACTCGTCAGCCCTGGGACCGGACGGAGGAACTGGGGTCCAGAAAGCGGAGCCTCCTGCTTCCGATTTCCCGGTTTGCTTGGACCCCGCCACCAGCCGCCCGGTTTACCCCGAGGAAGCATCTCGCGTTTCTCCCCCCTCCCCAATCCCTGTCCCGGATTCCTGTCCCAACCCTATCCGTCCTAGCCGGGCTCAGGGGCACTCCGAGTCGCCGAAGCGGAGAGGGCAGGAGCCTGCTTGGACATCCAGGAGAGGCGGTGAGAAACGGAAGCGCAAGAACTTGTCCCACCTGTGCACAG